ATGTAAATCCAAATATGACAAGCTAATACTGCTAATACATGTAAAATCGCAAAGCATGGGCTAAATACTAGTTCGATCATGTAAAATAAATGGGGTAAAATGGAAATTGAACAAATCGAGTGATTCGGTCATGTGAACTTTATGTAAAATTATGGTAATTTAACAAGTTAAGGGATTCGGTTACGTGAACTTTAGGTAAATTAGAATCACAGCAGCACAAAGAAATTAATCGATGCAATTTTAAAATAAACAGTAATATAAACCAATGATAAATAAAACATAGACTCCCATTTGTTCGTTGAAGTAATCGAACCAATCAACGAATTCGTCGAAGTAAACGAGCCAATCAACAAGATTGTCGAAGTATTGAGCCAACCATCATGTCAAAGATATACCTGATGTAGAAGAACTGTGGCGGTGACGGACTGGTCACTAGGTGGCGGTAGTTCATGTTCCTGGTCGCGCTTGTCTTTGGAGTTGCGGGTTGTCAGTTTTTTTTTCGTTGCTGTAGCGGATAGTTATAGTTGGTGATGAGATTTATGGGTTGGTTTGGTTGGCGAAGGCGAAGGGTAATTTCTGGGTTTCTGGGCGTCTTTTGGAGTGGCGGAGTTTTGCAGTTTGGGTGGCGGTTTGCCGTTCGTGGTTGTAGATGTTGGCGAATGAGGAAGCCCGATTATGGTTGCGATTGCTGACTTGGTGGGTTGAGGAAGTTGCTATGCGTAGGCAGGTGGTGGTGGGCTATGGTTTGGTGGAATAGATGGGCAGTTTCAATTGTTCGAGTTGTAGTTTGGGTGGCTGCTGCAATTGTTGGAGAGGGCGATGGTAGCCGACTGTGAAACAGCGGTGGTAGGCTGTGATTGAGAGTTGTGTAAAGGAATCCAAGTTTAGCTCTGATATCCAATTTGATGTATGATGAATTAGAGGAAGAAACGAATGACATAATTACAGCAAGAAAGTGGAGAAAAGGAAGAGAGGGAGCACGTAGAAGAGAAAGAGGAGGAAGAGTGGGCAACAAGCCAACGTTAATAATTTTCATTCATCCATCAACTGTCTAAATTATAATGTCAAAACCATATAAATAGTTAAAAATAAAAAAAAATAGCTGGTGACGGGTTTGGGTCAACCAACTACTACAAGCCCAATAATAGAAAATATAAATAATAAATCCCAATAACAATAAAATTAAGTTTAGAAGATGTCCGCATCACTACCTCTATATTTTGGGAAAATTTTGAGAAAAAATTTATAATCTAGTTCTATTGATAGTGGATTTTGTTGGTTTACCCCTTCGATTTCCCTCTTTGTCACGAAGGGTTTCACGACGTTAGAGAAATTTGGTGTTATCTTGTTTCTTGATTTATTTTGATATTTAATTGCTTGCATTTGGCTGGCTGGTTGGTTGATTTGATTCCTATTTAATTGCGCAGTGAAGGGGGAAGTTATATTGCTGTGGTAATATTGTTGGTTTCTTTGATTGGTACATTGTGCTGTTATTATTTTTCCCTATCAAGGACCGCTATGCATACATCAATACTTTACTAATTGGCCATTCGCATTTTCACTTGATGCCGTGCTCTCGTGGAATGGTGGATTTACTACTATGGTCAATCAACTTAAATAGTTGATAGTACTAGGTGGGCTGAAATGTTTCAGAGGGAAAAATAATGGGCTGCAGTTGCGATTTACTGTGCACCGGGTTCTCATATGAAAGCCTTCCCTTTCTTGGAAACGAGGGATGATCGACGAGGAACTTTTAAATTTTTGGGTTCTTCTCAACGGTTGACGATCTTAATTCTATTTTTAAGCATCCATTTCTTCTTCTTCGTTTGATTTTTCAAGAAGTTGTTCCTCCAAATATTGTTTGGCTTGATCTGTCAGCTTGAATTGTATGTAACATTTCATTTCTTGCATATGTCAAGTGTTTAGACCTTTGGGTCTTCTTATCCCAATATGCACAGGTTCAAAGTGCTCTGATAGTTGTGAAAGTAATGTGTTATGTTGCTGGATTACTCTCTTAAGTGTCTTTTAGTTATGCACAAAAAACACAATGCTCAAACTGTGATGATTTGATCTGAAATCCAGTGGCAAGTCCTGTTTTGCATAGCTGGCTTTCCTTTTCTTATTGAGGGGACTTATCTCCTCAATTACTATATGTGAAAGGCATAGCATATTTGGTTAATTTCTATCCTTTTGAGAAGATAAATACAAATCCAGTTTTTGTTTTTCTAGTCGAGTGAATTTCTACCCCATTACCTTATGGAAAGACATTAAGAATTTGGATTTTGTTTATTTATGGAAAGATGAATGCGATATTTGGTTTGAAGTCATCGATTTTATCAATCCCTCCTCGACCTGGTGTAAATTTTCTGGTTTCCATGGTCTGAAATATCCCCTATTATTCTGGTCAGTCTACAATCATGCCCATACTGTGAAGTGTGATATAATCTGTTCAAGAATTGATTGCAGTTAGTGTTACTGACGAACGCATGGTACAGTAGAGAATGGGTGGTTTGCAGGTGGGACTGGCCTAGTTAACTTAAGTTCTTTCAGTAAGCAATCTGATAAGAGCAGTTCTCTTATGTGGGCCATTTGTAATTTTTTTCCCCACAAGATTGCTGAACTGGCATATTTAAAATTCAGTCCCGAATCCTATCAGGCGTGCTGTTTGATGCTACCATGAAATGTATGAAACTTTTATATGCTCTCTAAAACCATTTACACTTTCATCATTATCTTGTCCACCTTTAACGTTTGTGGCCAGTAATTTTGCAATATTTATTTTGAATGATTGGATATGTTGTTCAAACTTACAGGTTCAAGAACATAATCATCCCCACATTCTTCTTTTGCAAATTGGAAATACTTTCTGTAAACTCCCAGGTGGCAGATTGAAGCCAGGAGAGAATGGTATGGTGCTTTATTCTTTCTTTACTGGTCATCACGGATCTATTTTTCTACTTGCATACTGAACAGGAAAAAAAACTAAAATTCTTAACTATGCTACTGTTACTTCTGTTTCAGTTTATCTCAACTTTGCTTAATTCAATCCATTTTTGTTCTTTTTACCTCTGAACAACTTCACAGAGATTGAAGGCTTGAAAAGGAAACTCTCTAGCAAACTTGCTGCTAATTCATCTTCTCTGCAGCCAGATTGGCAGGTAATACTTAAGTAATAACTATAATTTGAAGTTAGATATTTTCTCTGGAATGGATTGTGAAAATGGAACTGTAGTTGGATATGCTTTGGAATTTATTGAGGTAAATTTGTGGACAAGGCATGTGCAACTAAATCTCATATGAGATCGACATTCTGAAGGCAGTGTTTTGCTTGGATGTATGCAGTTTAAGAAAATGAGGCTGAATGCTATTTTAGATCACTTTATTAGTAAAATCCATTCTGAGATGCTTATCATGAAATATTGGATATTCACTGCAGATAGGTGAGTGTGTGGCTATCTGGTGGAGACCAAATTTTGAAACCACAATGTATCCTTACTGCCCTCCACACATAACAAAGCCTAAGGTAAGATCACCCAAACATATCTTAGTATCCCATGCTACCTTGTGTCATATTCTCATTTGGCATGAAATAATGCTTACCTCAAATTTTTTTTGACATAGGAGTGCAAGAAGCTTTTCCTCGTTCACTTGTCTGAAAGAGAGTACTTTGCTGTGCCTAAGAACTTGAAACTTCTTGCCGTCCCATTGTTTGAACTATATGACAATGTTCAGGTGTGAAGAGAGCTCCCTATAGTAGCGTTTAGCGGCATGGTGTCTAATTAGTTCCCCATGCATGGATATTCATAAGGGAGTATTTTATGATTGCAATTTCTTGCCGTTACCTAAGTTTACTTTTTGATTTTTATTTGTTAGGTTTTTATTCTCCTGTAAAGTATCATCCTAGCTTAGTGGCATGAGTATACTTTTTTCGAATCTTTCTGCCAGCTTCTGTGGTTTAAGTATAAAATTAATATGATAATGACATTATTCTTACGGGACCCCTTCTTTGGTCATTGGCAGAGATATGGACCAGTCATATCCACTATTCCACAGCAGCTATCCAGGTTTCAGTTCAACATGATCCATCAATAAGATTAGTCACGGACTACGAGATCATCTGAGGAGTTGAACTGGTTAGTGTGACACTTTCCGGGGATGACTGAAAAAATTCTACTGCATACCACGATCCATCTTCCTACAACTGACAGACACTTTAAACTGGGTACTTGTTTCATTTATTTTAGTTTTATTTAACTTGCGGTGAGAAATCTTTCTTCTGGTTTAGAACTTGTTGATATGTTATAATGTCATGTAAACTCTATAATAATTTAAGAGCAGTTGATGAAACTATTAGATACGAAAACAAGATTCAGCCCATCATATTGCTGTCTGGGATTTGATACAAGAATTGTTTAGAGTTGTTTTATTCATCGAGGGATGATTACATCTGTTAGTGCCTGGTGTGGCCAATCCATTCTCCCCTATTCTTTCAAGTGTAATTTAGAACTAATCACTGTAGACAACTTTTATCCTTTTGGCCTTCGTGTTTAGTGATGTTTTAACTTTAAGAAGCTAGAGCGGTTTTCGTTGTTCTGTTTGGCCTATCAAGTCTATTGTGTTTTGAATCCAATACTGTATACAGAGGACCAAATTAAGATTATGAAACATATCTTCGGACAGGGAAGAAAGTTTTCACACGGGTATCTCATGTGCTTCGATATTCGTAACAGATGAAATGAAGATTTCACTGTTTGAGTGATATTGATAATATACATATAAATATAGGAAAATAGAGGCAGAATGGAACTGTTTACCAAACTTCATTACTCAGCAATACAAGGGAAATCTGAATATGTGAATGGCATAAAACTATATTTGGCGCTCGACATTTAGCCCTTTTTACGCAAAACTGGCATGCAATTGACACCCTTTACCGTTAGGGAATTGCTTACTATTTAGCTTACCACTAAGCCAAACCATTTCATAATTAAAGTGACTTCAACTGCTAGGTCACCTGCCTTCTTTTGTCCACTAAATGTAGACTAAAGTTAGTTAGGTCTTGCTGCCTAAATCTGAAGCTTGAAGCCTTCCCATACTATCCAGGCAATTCTGCCCGTGTTATGCTATCGTCAAGTAAATTGAGTCTTGCATGGCTTCTGTTTCGACAGAATATGCACATCTCTTGCACATCCTTGCTTTGTCTACTCACTTCCTTGCCAAATGTACCGATCACACTCAAATTCAAGCAATATCAACACTTGGTTTGAGGAACTCCATCGCTATAACGATCATCGATAAGCTGTTGCAATTAATCAATCAAAGTGACTCCCGTCTTTTATATTTAATCTATCTTAGGCCCTGTCTGTCTACAACTACGCTATTTCTATTACTGTTCTTGTACCCACTATTGAATGCAAACAACGCAAGTGAAACTGTCCAAAGTATTGGCATGGGGAAAGGTAGTGTCCATGTTAAAGCCATCACAACCAACATGTGTCTAATAGATTCAAAGGCTAGATTTCATGTCATGACAACGAGCTTGTTGGCCTATTATAATCTAAGTGGTTGAAAATACTATTGAAATATTTGGCATTGAGGATTACTTTGAACGTTGCATCAGCTCAAAATATGACGAGTAATAGATTTTAGTATTCGAGGTCTTGCTTTTGATTCAAAGATGTTGGCTTGACAAAATTTCTTAAAACCCATAATGGATTAATCAAAACAAGTTGGATTATGAAATATTTGCAAACAGTTTTGACTTGATTCAAAATTAATTTAACTAGCTGACAAAAGTTAAAAAAGCAATAATGAATCCAAAATTCCCATATGCAATATCTT